TGTTGTCATTATTCAAGGCACACACAAAACAACCCAAACTACCATTAATGAGCAGTTGCAGTTCCCATCGTAAAGATTATACAGCGTCGAAGAACGAGAGAATTTTTATCCCACGGTCTGGTAAGTGGAGGTGACAGATGTTCACAGTTTATGCAGTTATGCTGTCGCTGCCGTTGCTGTTGTTATTAGTAGTGGCTGATAGTGGCGATGGTGGTGGTGATGATGTTGTTGTTATATTCATATGCTGGCTGCTTCTGCTCACTGGGTGTATGTGGTGTGGTGTGGTGTTCGGAGTGTTGCGGGGGTCAGCCGGGCGTTGGGTTATGCCACCACAATCAGAGTGTGTGCTGTTCTTGTGCTAGTCTCCCGATTTGTTTTTCTTTCGACGATTTTGAGGTTATTACTCTGGGTCTTGTGCTGCTGCTTCTGTTGGTTGGCTGGCAAGCCGTCCCCCCTCCCCTCTACTTAATTTCGGCTGCAAATCTATAATTAATTAAAAATTGTACATCATATTTCCCCTTAAGTGTTTCGTAATGCATACATGTTGGCGTGTGTTTTTTGGAGGATGGAGGTAGGGCAGAAAGGACTCTGTGTTGGTCACTCGAAGACTGCCACCCGACAGCAGACTTTTGAAACTGTTGCCATTATTGTATCAGGTGCTTGGCCTTGTGTTTGGCGATTTTCCACAGACACCCAAACGTGCCACAAAAAAGCCCCGCCACGTGTTTGGCACGTTTATTTCCAATCAAGCTGCCACGTGAGGCGGGTGTGGTGGGGGGTACTCCCCACCTATTAATTGAATATATATTTCGTTGTGTGCTTTTGTTTTTTGTTTTAGTCTATAGCAATATTCTATTAATAATTGTTGTGTGTTTTAGCACGTGTGCTTTCGTATTGCCTTAATGTCGAAGTGGAAATAACAATTTGTAAGGACAAATTTGTATCCGCAATACGGGGAGCCTTGTTGTATTGATTTCCTAACAAATGAAAACAGGGTGTTTTAATATATTATTTTTATTGGAATCCTTGTCGTCGTAATATATTCAGATAACTACAAAACTTAACCTAGGAGAGTACAGGGTGATTGATAAAGATGAGATTATTGAATGAAAGCAAGAAATGTCGGAAATAGCACGAAATTTTAGAATAAGTTTAAATTTGTTCGAATTGGTTACCTTTGGCACGAATTTTTGCCTTCAAACGGCCAATGAAGCCGTCACACACTGCCCGAATGTTGCTCTGTGGTATTTCGGCCCATGCCGGGCGAAGCGCTTGCTTGAGGTGATCGACACTTTGGTATACCATCATACTATGGAGGGTATATCAACTTTGTCATTCCGTTTGTAACTCCTCGAAATACTCATGTCAGACTCAACAAAGTATATATATTCTTGATCAGCATAAAATTCTAAGTCGATTTGGCGATGTCCGTCTGTCTGTCAGTCCGTCTGTCTGTGGTAATCACGCTTTTCTTTCGAACGAATTGAGAAAGAAGGCTCGAATTTTACACACATGTTTATTTTTCCAGTAGGCAGGTTAAGTTTGTAAATGGGCCATGTAGGTCCACGTTTTCATATAGCTCCCCCAAAACGGTACCTCCCAATATTTGGTATTTTGATGATTTTAGCCACATTATTTAACGGAATTGTTTCAAATTTTGTATTTGAACTTCGAAATGGATACTACAGCCTAAGGAAGAGAATTGTCTGTGCAGATCCACGTCTTCGTAAAGCCCCCCTGTAGCGGTACCTCCCTATATTCGATATTTTGATGATTTTAGCGGCAATATTAACTGGAATTGTTTCAAATTTGATATTTGAAGTTCGTAGTGGATACTAAAGCTTATGACAGAAAATTGTCTGTGCAGGTCCACGTCTTCGTATAGCCCCCATATAACGGTACCTCCCAATATTTGGTATTTTGATGATTTTAGCCAAATTATTTAACGGAATTGTTTCAAATTTTGTATTTGAAGTTCGAAATGGATACTACAGCCTAAGGAAGAGAATTGTCTGTGCAGGTCCACGTCTTCGTATAGCCCCCATATAACGGTACCTTCCTATATTCGATATTTTGATGATTTTAGCGACAATATTAACTGGAATTGTTTTAAATTTGGTATTTGAAGTTCGTAATGGGAACTACAGTCTATGACAGAAAATTGTTTGTGCAGGTTCACGTCTTCGTATAGCCCCGATATAACGGAACCTCCCAATATTCAGTATTTGGATGATTTTAGCGAAATTATTCACCAGAATTGTTTCAAATTACGTATTTAGAGTTCGTAATTGGAACTACAGTCTGGGACAGAAAATTGTCTTTACAGGTCCAGGTCTTCGTATAGGTCCCATACATCAGTACCTCCCGATATTCGATATTTTGACGATTTTAGCTACAATACTCACCGAAATTGTTTGAGTTGTCGTATTTGAAGTTCGTATTGGATGCCACGGCCTGTGACAGAAAATTGTCTATGCTGGTCCAGGTCTTCGCACAGCTCCGATATAACGGTACATCCCTATATAAGATATTTTGATGATTTGAATATGGTGATGGCTTATGACAAACAATGCCTATGTAGGTCCATGTCGTATAGACCGCAATATAACGACTATATTCGGTATTTTTAAAATTTTAACAGAATTTTTTAAGAATTTAATTTTTTGAAAATTTCTAAATGGTGGAGGGTATTCAAAGTTCGGTCCGGCCGAACTTACTGCTTTTTAATTTGTTTTAAATTCTATTGAATGTCGGAAATAGCATCAAATGTTAGAATATGTTTAGATTTGTTCGAATTGGTCACCATTGGCACGAATTTTGGCCATCAAACGCCCAATGAAGCCGTCAAACGCTGCCCGAATGTTGCTCTGCGGTATTTCGGCTGACACTTTGGTATTTTTTAGTGCCAACCTTGCTTGTCAAAATACTCCAGACACAATAGTCCAACGGATTGGTATCCGGAGATTTTTTGGTGGCCATTGTGCACTGGAAATGAAGCGAGGAATCTCATTTTGTAACCACTTTTGGGTGGCGCATGCTGAGTGCGTTGGTGCTGAGTCCTGTTAGAATATCCAAGGTCTGCGACCAAAATGTTTGCGTGCCCAAGACTTTAATACACCCTCCAGAATATTTTCGCGATTTATTCTATCACCATGGCTTGAGTTCTGCGCTTGAGTTCTGGTGGCCAACCGAAGGTGCACATTTTCAGCTGACCTTTTTGGCAAGTAAATAGGATCATTTTGTTTGTTTACAAACTGCTGGACAACGAATGTTTTCTTATCGGAGAAAATCAAATTCGGCAGTTCACCACTTTCCGCCAAGCCAAGCAACTCTTTAGCTCCTTTGAGTCTATTTTCTTTCTGTTGCGGTATAAGTTCTTGCACTTTTTGGAATTTCTATGGCTTTACCCCGAGGTCATTTTTCAATATTTGCCGAATGGAATATTTCGATACATTCAGCTCACGAGCCATTTTTCGACCACTGCGACGCGGGTTTCGATCAAGTCGCTTCTTTACTTTTCGAACCATTTCTGCTGATGTTGCTGTTTTCTTCCGTCCACTTTCTTGACGTCGGGCTACGCTACCAGTATCACGGTAACGAGCAAGGGTACGAGACACAAAAGATTTATTCACATTTAAATGCTGGAGTGCTCTAACTATAGCCACTTGTGGGTTTCCAGCCAAATATAAAGAAATCACACTATCACCCTTGAATTCCATCACGAATAACTTTTCTTCTGGAAAATTCTCACCAAAACGCTTGTCTACAATATAATGAGCTGTCACTGGAATAATTTTAACACCTATCGGACGATTGGCTCAGAAATGACAACAGTCTAAAGAGGGTTGCAGTTTTTTCATCTCAATACCATATAATACCAAATTTCAGATTTCAAATACTATAACACCAAATGATACCATTATAGAAGTTTAGTACCATTTTAGTACTTTTGGCATCCTATTAGTACGCATTTTAAAAACCCCGAATTTCTAATGCAGCTCAAGTGTGGATCCAGTCAATTCTTTCTCCATAAATCACAAATTACCCTTTTTTGGTGTCGCCTGATATTTTAGTCCTGGCTAAACTTTAGTTCTCCCATGCCCAATATGAAACCAGGACAAACCTCCCCGTCTGGATGGGGTCCTTGTGTTGGACTTTTTGAGGTTTCTCCAGCCCTTGGATTATTCGAGTATAACACCTTGACGGGTCGTTATTTTTTGGTCTCTTCGAACTTTAACCCGTTATGATGCTCGCCGATACGGGTTCTTCGTATTTTAAACTCTTGAGGTGACCTCAGCCCTTCGGTCGAGTTTTTCCTTTTCTTAAGGGATTCACAGCCCTTGGTTTCTTTTGATTTATGCCTCTGCTTCATTCGTATTTCTTGAGAGAGTCAGGTTTAAATCATTAAAGGATCATTTAAAACTTTAACTGAAGCCTTGCACCGAAAGTAGGATAGACAACTCTTTAAGCTCCAGAAATTCATAAAATTTAGGACAAATCCGGTGTACTTATACAGATTGCCGACGCATTCCCCGGGAATTCCTGCACTGAAAGCCATTCGTTAATTAAAGACACTATAGAAGATCTCTTATACGTCTAAATAAATCCGCAATTATTAATTAAAGTCCATCTTCCAGTCTCTTTTATAAATTTTTGTATGGATACTGAAAACCGGAGGCAACTTGTGTCGTTACATAGGTTATCTGCTCTTTTCTCAAAAAATTCCACGTTTTCTTTTTTTTAAATCACTTAAATCAAAATTCCTTATAATGGATAATTTTTGAACCTGTTCTCATCACTTAATGTCATATCCTTTGGATAATTGTCACCCCATGCAATGCCCTCACTTTTAGCACACTCTTATCACACAGTTCCCAGTTACTACTAAGTGTGTGTGTCGTGTTTTGCCAAGAAGAAAATTTCCCACGTTCTGAGGCAACTGGCCGGCCGTTACAAAAACAAAACCAAAAAAACACCAATTCCCAGGCTCGAATACAGATGTTCATAACGCTAAGGGTTGTTTCTTTCAACCCCGTTTCATCGGCGAGCAATATTATCCAACCAAACTGCCCGTCAGGGTATAAAAGCCTTGGAGGTGCAACCATCAGACATCATTCTCATTACAACCTTGCTTGTGAACACATCACAACACAAGACAACATCACAACACAAAAAATGGCTCCTCAAATGGAATTCGTCTCCAAGACTCAACATTACCTGAAAGTCAAGAAACCTCAGCTGGAACGTGAACGACGTGCCCGCATCAACAAATGTTTGGATACTCTCAAAGTGTTGGTGGCCGATCTACAAGGCAATGGCAATATCTTGCGTATGGATAAAACTGAAATGTTGGAATCGGTTGTGGCCTTCATGAGGACACAAGTACGCAAACCAAAGGCTCCCATGGCTCCAACGGTACCCATGGATTCTTATCGTCATGGCTATATGAATGCTGTCAATGAAGTGTCACGCATCATGGCTGCCACACCCGGCATGAATGTCCAATTGGGCAAAGCGGTTATGACTCACTTGGGTTGTGCCTTCAATCAGCTGACCGCCAGCCCAGCGTCTGTGCAAAAATCTCAAGATCATCAAATGTATTCCGCTGCACCCATGTCTCCTGCCTCCTCGGGTTATCACAGTGATGAAGAAAATTCATCGGTTGCCTCACCAGCTCCAGTTGCTGCTTCTCTATGGCGTCCTTGGTAGATTGTTTGTTCATCCATCTACCATAGAAATGAAACTCAAAAGCTTTACCGAGAATATTTGGCATGCAAACGACCAAGACTGCAATATTCAACCAACTTCAACTGTGATAACCATTATTTAGTTTTAAGAAGATTTTTTTTAAGTTTTAATTTTTACAATTATTTTGAAATTAGTACAAAATGAAAATGCTTTATTATTTGTTTAACAAATTTTATTTTTATACATATTTTTAAAAAAATATACAATTTTTTAAAAAGAAAATTTAAAATGTTTCTTTAATTTAAAAAAAAAATGGGAAAGGAGATACTTGTTTAGATTTTATATCCTGGACTACAGAAGAATTTTAAGGGTCTCATAGTTCCAGCTGAAAATTTTTCAAAGAACATCCTTCTAAATGGCTCTCTTGTAGAAGAAGAAAAAATTCTTTCTTCCTTGTAGTCTCCCTAGTAAAAAAGCTGTTCAATTTTCTTATAGAAGACCGACAAGTCTTGGGATACACTATCGAAAAAGGGTTTTTTAGGAGTGCCTTGAATATATTCCTATATTTCTTGAATATTTCCTATAGAATATCAATAAGATTCATTTACAGAAGCCCATTGTTAAACTGGGAAAGGAATTTGCAATGTATAATAGCAAAGACACAAACCAAGCGAATTTCGATGTGGTAGATTAATGTGGAATGGTTTTTTCACTTCACTCATATTTTGTAACTTTTATTTTGTCCCGCAGATAACGATTTCTAATCGAAATCACAGGGTCTCTTTGGACAAAATCTGTATCAGGACGCTAATTTTCGGAAAGAGTATCTCTAATTTCGTCCTAATCTGGTACAGTGATATTTTTCTATCAAAAATTGATGGGGTTCGGAGATGGGAAAAATCGGCCTACTCCATCCGGAACCTACCCTAAACAAATTAACATTTGACTTAGTCCACTTAAAATTATGCTGTATTGGAGAATTTATCATACGTATGGTTTCGACCTTAAAATGTGTTTTGTCTACCTTAGCCAAATGGCTAGAGAGGGTATATGTCATTTGATACGGCCAAAAAAGTGCCTCATCGAAATAACGGTTTTAGACCCAAGGTTTCTTTGGACCAAATCCGTTTCAGGACATTTGGGGTCGATCTATCGAGGTCCGTCCGTCTTTCTGTCTGGTGCGCACGACAACTCTCGAAGGGAGTAACCGATTTGATTCAAACTTTTTACATCGTAATATTCTTATCAAACTTAGATCCAGCTCGGAGATGGGCAATATTGGTCTACTCATTCTGGTACCTTCCTCTTAAAAGGACGTAGTTTTCAAAAAATATATTTTCTGCACAGAAAGAGAAAGGATAAATCGATTTTGCTTCAACTTTGTAAACGCTAATATTTACTTCAGCTCTAGGTCAGGTGCAAAAATGGATGATATCGGTCCACCCCACCAAGTACCTCCCCCACAAAGGGTCAATATTTTGAATAATCAAAACGATTATAAAATTCGAAATAAGCGTCCTATTGCCTTTAAATTTCACACATCTCTAGGTCTAGTGTTAGGATGAAATATATCGGTCCACCCCCTCTGGTACCTCACACCCAAAATGCCGAAAGTTTCAAGAAAAAAATATTTTCTGCACTGAAAGAGAAGGGATAATCCGATTTTGCTCCAACTTTGCAAATCCTAAAATTTTCTTCAGTTCTAGGTCAGGTGCAACAATGGATAATATCGGTCGACTTCATCAAGTACTTCCCCCACAAAGAGTCAACATTTTGAGTAATTACAGCTCGTCTTCAAATTTCGCACATCACAAGATATCTTATAAAGAGTAGAGATCGTGCCATTGCTTCTGGTTCCTCCCTCACAAAAAGTCAAAGTTATTAAATCCGAAGTAAGTATCCGATTCTCTTCGTATTTCACACATCCCATTATTTCTACTAAAACAAGGTCTGCTGTGAAGATGTAATATATTGGATTTCTTATTTCTTCTAGTACCTCCCCCTAGTCTTGAATAACCAAAACGATCAAAATTTACGAAATAAACATCCGGTTTTCTTAAAATTTCACAGATACCATTATTTTTACTAATATAAGATATGCTGTGAAGATGGGATATATCGGTCCACTCCTTCTGGTACCTCCCCCACAAAGGGTTCAAAATTTGGAATATCAATAAAGCTGCTAAAACGCAAAATTAACAATCGATTCCATTCAGACTTGGTACATCTCAATATTTCCAACAACACAAGATCTGTTATAAATATGGTAGAGATCGGACCATTTCTACTACTACCATTTCTTCTAAAATATCAAGAAGTTCTTCTTATAGAAGGCCGTAAGGTTACCTTAGAGAAGATCAAGCAAATTTTTAGCAACAAAATATTTTCTATCAGGCCAGGCGGACAACAAACTACATAGTTTTGATCAAATTTTGTAATTTTTTTGGGCCATATTTGCAACTTGTTCCTTCATATTCGTATTTCGTTCCATGGCCTCAATAATATCCATTCCGGGCTACTTCATTACTCACAAGCCATTAAGCGTAACAATAATTACTGTCTAAGTGGAATTAAAGGAAATCGTAAACCGATTCTTATTATCAACGGCCACAGTCTCAGCGCACTTCCCACACGTTCTGTTTCGTGCATCTGCTCAACGTTCCCACGATCTAAAACACATGCTAACGGCTCAAAGATTTTCCCATCAACCAGCCAGCCAGACATTTTTAGGGGTTGTTTTCAACCTTGCATGAGTACGCCTGAGTGCAATGAGAATTTCAACCACCTTTGACTTCGGGCTATAAAAGGTTGATCCTCCCAGTGAGTAGACATCATTCTCATTACAACTTTCAAGAGAAACACATCTCTCACATTAACAACACACACAAAAAATGGCTCCTCAAATGGAATTTGTCTCCAAGACTCAACATTACCTCAAGGTCAAGAAACCCCAACTGGAACGTGAACGACGTGCTCGTATCAACAAATGTCTGGATAGCCTCAAAGAATTGGTGGCCGAATTCCAGGGCAATGACTCAATTTTACACATGGATAAAGCCGAAATGTTGGAAACTGCAGTCAACTTCATCAAGTCACAAGTACGCAAACCAAAAATTCCTGTAGTTCCACAAGTGCCCATGGATTCTTTCCGCCATGGTTATATGAATGCTGTCAATGAAGTATCTCGTGTCATGGCTGCCACACCCGGCATGAATGTCCAATTGGGCAAAGCTGTTATGATCCATTTGGGTTGTGAATACAATCGTTTGTCTGAGGCCACTAAACCAGTTGAAAATACCGAAGTGTGCTCAGCTCCCATGTCCCCAGCATCATCCGGTTATCACAGTGATGAGGATATTTCACCAGCCGCATCACCAGCTCCTTCAACCCCAGTATGGCGTCCTTGGTAGATATTTAAAATTGAACTACCTTTGGAATTTGAAATCAAGAGCTTTAATGGCAATATTGGACTACTACAATGCTGTGATATCCACCCATCCTACAACTGTGATAATCAAACATTAGATTTAAGATAGAATTAAAAAATAGAAAAATAAGAACTAAAAGCTTTAAAATTTGTCGAACAAATTTAACGTTAATATAAAAATATAAAACAAAATATTTGTCAAAAGAAAATTTCCAAGTCTTTTATTTTTCTTTAACATTTGGGAGGTTTTCAAACTGAACAACCCAAAAGATCAATAGGTTTTGGAAATAAAGAAATGGTATACTGTGGGGCAATTAGGTACTGGTATGAACAAATTTCAAACAAGAAACCAAAATTATTAATATCGATATAGAAAACTTATCAGTTACAGATTTTAAAATAGGTCAGTTGGCTCCAATATCAAATGATTTATAATCGAAGGTTTTGAATTCTAAAAATTGCTGATATATGCAAGTAATTCCACCAAAGCCTTTGCTTATTTCATAAATGTCAAAAGTAATACATTTTATGGTCTTATGTGGTTTTGAATGTCCCGAAAATCTTGAAAACAAAAAGTTGGAGTCCCTGCATACCGTGAATAATCTACTGTGATTTTCTTCTGCCGCAGCATTTTAGGTCCGATGGAAAAAAACTCACTTTCACTGCATAATAGCTCTTAAAGATCCTATACAAAGATGGAACTTCGAAAATCAAAAAGAAGGATTTCAAGTACAGCTCTAGCCTACCCTCAATGTATGCTGTGCTGATAAGAGGATATCATGTTTTTTTTTCAACTTCACTTCAAATGTGTAATCCCGGATGCGGTAATTTAACGACGGTTTGTACTGCATATAAAAGGTATTCTGTAGAATATTGAACTTGATTTACCACTATAGGATCATAGTCTTCATGTTTGGCGTTAGTTCACGTTATATGATTTCCAGATTGTGGGATATATCAACACCGATTAAGCCAGAAATTCAATTACAAACTATTTCGGGCAAACCTTGTATTATGTGGAAAAAATGTCTGAAAAGTCAACATTATGTAACCTCTGCCTATGCATTTCTGGGTGCGTAGGCGTCAATGGATATTTTACATAACAATATTTCATTGACGACTTAACATAAATCACGAACAAATTACTTGTTTAGCTCTACGTAGTAGAAACCCCACCAAACGAAATTTAAACCTATAATACTGACAGGCACCACACGATTTATAAAGGCGAAAAAATTGAATTTTTCAATATCGTAGAATATATTCAATAAAGCACTAGGGCCTCAATTCTTGTTCTTTGAAAATGGGAAACTAAAACTTTTGTTAACGGAAAGAAATTTTAAATGAAAATAAGTATCCCGCCCCAAGGATTTTATTCTACTCAAGCAGCTATTATAAGAAAAACATATCTCCTCATATTTCGCGAAGGCAAATTTTGTAACACCCTTTTGACTCCTTATTTCAAATGGGAATATTAAGGCGAATGCTACGAAAGATCATCACCAAAAAAGAAAATATATCAACATATCCTTACAATCCAATATCCTTTTTGGAAGTCGTTCAGAATATTTAACATAACAAATGGAACTACAAATCAAACAATCATTCCCAATCCCAAACACCATTCCTTCAAGAAATTCCCACACTCACGAGACAATAGCAGTTGCATTGTGCTACAACAACTTAAAGGATATCCAAGAAGGACAACAACAAAACATCCTTATAATCACCGGCTGGCCTCATCCGTTGCACACTCTCTACACGTACTATTTTGTTCATCTGCTCAACGTTCCCACGATCCGAAACACAGGCTATCACCTAGAAATTTTCCAAACAACCAGCTAAAATTTTAAGGGTGGTTTCAACCTTGCATGAATAGGAATCAAAAATTCCAACTACCTTGTATGTTTACGCCGGGGTATAAAAGGTCGATCGTGGCAGTAACTAGACATCATTCTCATTACAACCTTCAAGAGAAACACATCTCTAAAATCAACATAACACACACAAAAATGGCTCCTCAAATGGAATTTGTCTCCAAGACTCAACATTACCTCAAGGTCAAGAAACCCCAACTGGAACGTGAACGACGTGCTCGCATCAACAAGTGTCTGGATAATTTAAAAGAATTGGTTGCCGAATTCCAAGGCAATGACTCAATTTTACACATGGATAAAGCCGAGATGTTGGAAAATGCAGTCAGTTTCATCAAGACTCAAGTTCGTAAACCAAAAGTTCCTGCAGCTGCACAAGTGCCTATGGATTCGTTTCGCCATGGTTATATGAATGCTGTCAATGAAGTATCCCGTGTCATGGCTGCCACCCCCGGCATGAATGTCCAATTGGGCAAAGCTGTTATGATCCATTTGGGTTGTGAATACAATCGTTTGTCAGAGATTCCTGCACCAATTGAAAATACCGAAATGTGCCCAGCTCCCATGTCTCCAGCATCATCGGGTTATCACAGTGATGAGGATATTTCACCAGCCGCCTCACCAGCTCCCTCTACTCCTGTATGGCGTCCTTGGTAGATATTTGAAATTGAACTACCTTTGGATTTTGAAATCAAGAGCTTTAACTGCAATATTGGACTACCGCAATGCTGTGATATCCATCAACTCTCAACTGTGATAATCGAACATAAGATTTAAGATAGAATTAAAAAATAGAAAAAAAGAACTAAAAGCTTTAAAATTTGTCGAACAAATTTAACCTTAATTTAAAAATATAAATCAAAATATTTGTCAAAAGAAAATTTCCAAGTCTTTTATTTTTCTTTAACATTTGGGAGGTTTGAAAACTGCTTAACCCTAAAGAACAATAGGTTTTTGGAAATAAAGAAATGGGATTCTATGGGGTCTTTATAGGTACTGGCTACTGGGTACAAATTTCAAACATGAAACCAAAATTATTATTTTCGACAAAGAAAACAGATTAGTTACGGATTTTAAAACGGATCAGTTGGCTCCAATACCAAATGATCCATAATCGAAGGGTTTGAATTCTGAAAATTGCTGATATATGCAAGTAATTCCACCAAAGCCTTGGCTTATTTCATGAATGTCGAAAGTAATAAATATTGTTGTCTCATGTGTTTTTGAATATCCCTAAAAACTTGAAGACACGAAGTTGACGACCCTGCATACCGTGAATATTCTACTGTGATTTTCTTCTGCCGCAGCATTTTCAGTCCGATGGAAAAAAAGTACTTTCTCTGCATTATAGCTTTTATAAATCATAGACAAAGATGGAACTTGGAAAATCAAAAAGAAGGATCTCAAGTACAGCTCTAGCCTACCCTCGCAATGTATGCTGTGCGGATGAAAGGATGTCAAGTTTTTTTTTTCAAATTCACTTCAAATGTGTAATCCCGGATACGGTAATTTAACGAGGGTTTATACAGGATATTACAGGTATTCTGTAGAATATTGAACTTGATTTACCACTATATGATCATAGTCTTCATGTTTGGTAATAGCTCAGGTTATATGATTTCTAGGTTGTGGGATACATTAACTCTGATTAAGCCATAAATTAATTTTAAAACTATTTCCGATGAGCCTTGTATTATGTGCAAAAATGTCTGAAAAGTCAACATTATGAAACCCCTCCCTATGCATTTCTGGGTGCGTAGGCGTCCATGGATATTTACATAGCAATATTCCATTGACTTCTTAACAAAAATCATGATCTAATGACTGGTTTAGCCCTTTGGAATAGAAAACCCACCAAACGAAATTTAAACCTATAATACTGACTGGCAGCCCAAGATTTACAAAGGCGAGAAAATTTAATTTTCCAATATCGTAAAATATATTTAATAAAGCACTAGGGCTTCAATTCATGTTCTATGCATATGGGAAACGAAAACTTTTATAAAGGAAAGAAATGCCGAAATGAAAAGCAGAATCCAGCCCCGAGGATTTTATGATACTCAAACAGCCATGATAAGAAAAACATATCTCTTCATATTTCGCAATGGCAAATTTTATGGCACCCTTTGATTTATTACTTCAATTGGGAATACTAAGGCGAATGCTACGAAATATCATCACCAACAAAGAAAATATCACAACATATCCTTACAATCCAATATCCTTTCTGAAAGAAGTTCACAACATTTAACATAACAAATGGAACTACAAATCAAACAATAAATCCCAATTCTAAACACCATTCCTTCAAGAAATTCCCACACTTTCGAGACAATAGCAGTTGCATTGTGCTACAACAACTTAAAGGATATCCCAGAAGGACAACAACAACATGTTCTTATAATCACCGGCTGGCCTCATCCGTTACACACTCTCTACACGTACTATTTTCTTCATCTGCTCAACGTTCCCACGATCCGAAACACAGGCTATCACCTAGAAAATTTCCAAACAACCAGCTAATATTTTAGGGTTGGTTTCCAACCTTGCATGAAAGGCAGTTAAGAATTCCAACTACCTTGTGTGTCTATGACGGAGTTTAAAAGGACGATCGTGGCAGTAACTAGACATCATTCTCCTTACAACTGCCAAGAGAAACACATCTCTCAAACACAACACACAAAAATGGCTCCTCAAATGGAATTTGTCTCCAAGACTCAACATTACCTCAAGGTCAAGAAACCCCAACTGGAACGTGAACGACGTGCTCGCATCAACAAGTGCCTGGATAACCTTAAAGAACTGGTTGCCGAATTCCAAGGCAATGACTCAATTTTACACATGGATAAAGCTGAGATGTTGGAAACTGCAGTGAGTTTCATCAAGACACAAGTTCGCAAACCAAAAGTGCCTGCAGCCCCCCAAATTCCTATGGATTCCTTTCGCCATGGTTACATGAATGCGGCCAACGAAGTATCCCGTGTCATGGCTGCCACCCCCGGCATGAATGTCCAATTGGGCAAAGCTGTTATGATTCACTTGGGCTGTGAATATAATCGTTTGTCTGAAGCCACTAAACCAGTTCAAAATACCGAAGTGTGCTCAGCTCCCATGTCTCCAGCATCATCCGGTTATCACAGTGATGAAGATATTTCACCAGCCGCCTCACCAGCTCCCTCTACTCCTGTATGGCGTCCATGGTAGTTCCAAAAAATTATCTACATTTGGAATTTGAAATCGAGAACTTTAAATGCAATATTGGACTACTGCAATGCTGTGATATCCATCCAATCCTCAACTGTGTTAATCGAACATTATATATAAGTTAGAATTCAAAAATAGAAAAAAGAACAAAAAGCTTTAAAATTTGTATAACAAATTGAACATTAATTCAAAATATAAACAAAAATTAACAGAATTTTTCAATCTTTTATTTTTTTTACAAATCACAAATAGATCAACTCAAAAGAACAATATTTTTTTCGAAAAAAAAAAATAAATAAATGGGGCTCCATTGGGTGGTTATAGGTATTGTCATATGACAAATTTCAAAAATGAGACCAATGTTATTTTCATCGATAAAGGAAACAGATCAGATATATATTTGAAAGTAGGTCATGTGGTAGAACTACAATCCAAATTTTTTGGGTTGATCCTGAAAGTAATTTCACCTATAAAATTTCGTGAATATCGAAAGCAATGAATCCTTGTCTTTTGGTTTTTAAAATCCCAAAAAGGAGTCCCTTCGCACTATGAATATTCTAAACTGACTCATATTTGCCATAGAATTGTAAATGTAAGGAAAACCTCTCTTTCTTTTAGCTACATAATAGCTCTGAAAGTGCCAAGGCAAGGATAACACTTCGAAACTCCCAAAGCGAATCTCAAGTATAACTCTAGCCTACACTCAATGTATGCAGTGCTGGTAATGGGATATCAAGTTTTATGATAGATGCATTAAATGTGTAATCCCAAATCCAGGAATTCAGCGTCGGGTTTGACCGCATATAACGGATATGATATTCCACTTGACCTACCACTATAATTTAATTTCATTTCTTGGTTATGGCTGTGGTGATATAATTTCCAGGTTGCTATACTATAAATAGACTTCGAAAACTCTATCTTCCGAGCCTTGTAATATGTGCAAATAATCCCTGAAGTCGTTATTTTGGTGTCCTTTCTCATGCCTCCATGGACATGTCGGTTTTCAAGGATATTTCACAAAACAATATTTCATTTTTACATTTGGCATATATCACTAGATAATACTTTGCTTAGCACAGGAGAATAGAACCCCCACTAAACAAGATTTTTTTAAAGACCAGAAAATGTAAAATTCCCATTTCCCTAGAATATTTTAATTGGAAGCACGAAGAATTCATAACGAAAGACATTAATGACTTGAATAAAGTATCTCTACCAGCACTACCAAATGAAATGTTTTATGACACTCTTTCATTCATTATTTAATTTGGATTACTAAGGCCAATCCTATGAAAGGACATTACCAACAAAGACCAGATATCAAAATGCCCTTACAACCAAATAACTTCTGTGGAAGTGGTTCTCAATGCTTACCATGACAAATAAAAATTGGAATCCAACAATAAATCCCAGACCTAGACACCATTCCTTCAAGAAATTCCCACACTCTCGAGACAATAGCATTTGCATTATGCTACAACAACTTAAAGGATATCCAAGAAGGACAACAACAACATATTCTTGTAATCACCGGCCGGCCTCATCCGTTACACACTCTCTACACGTACTATTTTCTTCATCTGCTCAACATTCCCACGATTCAAAACACTGGCTGTCACCTAGAAAATTTCCAAACAACCAGCTAACATTTTAGGGGTGGTTTCAACCTTGCATGAGTAAGAATCAAAAATTCCAACTACCTTGTGTGTCTACGCCGGGGTATAAAAGGACGATCGTGGCAGTAACTAGACATCATTCTCATTACAACCTTCAAGAGAAACACATCTCTCAAATCAACACCACACACAAAAAATGGCACCTCAAATGGAATCTGTCTCCAAGACTCAACATTACCTCAAAATCAAGAAACCCCAACTGGAACGTGAACGACGTGCTCGCATCAACAAGTGCCTGGATAGCCTAAAAGAATTGGTTGCCGAATTCCAGGGCAATGACTCTATTTTGCACATGGATAAAGCTGAAATGTTGGAAAATGCAGTTAACTTCATTAAGACTCAAGTACGCAAATCAAAGTGCCCTCCTCAAGTGCCTATGGATTCATTCCGCCATGGTTATATTAATGCTGTCAACGAAGTATCCCGTGTCATGGCTGCCACCCCCGGCATGAATGTCCAATTGGGCAAGGCTGTTATGATCCATTTGGGCTGTGAATACAATCGTTTGTCAGAGATTCCTGCACCAGTTGAAAATACCGAAGTGTGCTCAGCTCCCATGTCACCAGCATCATCCGGTTATCACAGTGATGAGGATATTTCACCAGCCGCCTCACCTGCTCCCTCTACTTCTGTTTGGCGTCCTTGGTAGATATTTAAAATTTAACTACCTTTGGAATTTGAAATCAAGAGCTTTAATGACAATATTGAACTACTGCAATGCTGTGATATCCATCCAATCTTCAACTGTGATAATCGAACATTAGATTTAAGATAGAATTAAAAAATAGCAAAAAATAACTAAAAGCTTTATAATTTGTTTAACAAATTGAACTCTAATTTTAAAATACAAAACAAAATATTTACAAAAGAAAATTTAATTTTTTTATTTCTCCTAAACGCTACGAGGGGTTTAAAACTGATCAATTCAAGAGATCAGTTTATTTTTAGAAAAAATGAAATGGGATTCTATTAGGACTCTATAAGTATTTTCATATGATTACAAATATAAAATTAAAATTATTGACATCGATAAAGAAAACTGGTCAGATACATATTTTAAAATTGGCCAGGTGACTCCAATATCGAAAAATCTGCAATCGAAGTTTTTGAATATTATTCATGCCTGCACGAAAGTCCACCACAGATCCATGTCAATTTCATGATTATCGAATGTAATGAATCCGTAAAGCGAGAGGAGGCTTTAAAGCCTCCTTCTCTAGGACCTCTTGAATTTTTTAAGATCGATGAAAATAAACATTATTTGTTTTTTAGATAATAGCTGCGAAAGGCAAGGATAACACATTTAAGGGGGTACTCTAGTAGAAATTTAGCATATCCTCAATATAAGCAGTGGTTGTCAAGTTTTTTTCATGAATGCTTCGAATGTGTGAACCCGGATCAACGTCTATTACTACTATATGTAACAACTATTCTTCATAATATTTACTTCTACTTATTTTTTAAGCAGGCAGTTTTATTTTTATTGGTGACTCTGCTGATATGAGCATATGATCTCCTGTGAAGGCAGAAATGCATTTCAAAACCATTTCGCAGTGAGCCCATTTTATTATAAATTAATTGTTCACTAAAATATTTGCTCAAAAAATGTCTCAATGCCATCAACTCTAAATTGAATTATTTTCTTAAATAAGCTTTCGACCCCAAAAATGGTCCTGCTTCGATCTTGCAGCTTCAATTGTACAAAGATTATCATATTTAGCCTAGGAGCTGATATTCTACTACCCTTAAAATATACTTCTTCACTTTCGAGGTAATAGTAGATTAATATATATGATTCAGTGTGGCTAAGCCAAAATGGGGCAAAATTACAAAATTCAAAGATTCTAAGAATTTCGACAGATACTCATAAACTACTCATTGTCTTGAATATGGAGGAGCATGTCAACGACTATAAGGAATTTTAAAACATCAGGACTCTATAGAATTGGAAAAGGCCATGTTTTCGAACTTCAAAAATGATAATCACAACAAACTAATGTGATCAAGAGTGTACGGGACAAGTTTTGATAAAGACCCAAATACCTTAACTCCCATTTCATACTTCGCTCAAAACTTCCCATTTCATCTTCTGAGATTTTTCAATCAAAAACCTTGTTGTGTTACAAAAAAAAAAAAAAAAAACAAAAAAAAAAAAGACTGAAAATTTCTTTTGAAAAATATATTTTGTTTCCTATTTTATAATTAGAGTTTAATTTGTTTAACAAATTTTAAAGCTTTTAGTTCTCTTTTTCTACTCCTTAATACTATCTTAAATCTAATGTTTGATTATCACAGTTGAAGGTTGGATGGATATCACAGCACTGCAGTAGTCCAATATTGTCATTAAAGCTCTTGATTTCAAATTTCAAGGGTAGTTCATTTCAAATATCTACCAAGGACGCCATACAGGAGTAGAGGGAGCTGGTGAGGCGGCTGGTGAGATATCCTCATCACTGTGATAACCCGATGATGCTGGAGACATGGGAGCTGAGCACACTTCTGTATTTTTAATTGGTGTTGTGACCTCAGACAAACGATTGTATTCACAACCCAAGTGAATCATAACAGCTTTGCCCAATTGGACATTCATGCCGGGAGTGGCAGCCATGACACGGGATACTTCATTGACAGCATTCATATAACCATGGCGGAATGAATCCATAGGCACTTGAGGAGATACAGGAACTTTTGGTTGGCGCACTTGTGACTTGATGAAGCTCACTGCATTTTCCAACATTTCGGCTTTATCCATGTGTAAAATAGAGTCATTGCCCTGGAATTCGGCCACCAATTTTTTGAGGCTATCCAGGCACTTGTTGATGCGAGCACGTCTTTCACGTTCCAGTTGGGGTTTCTTGACCTTCAGGTAATGTTGAGTCTTGGAGACAAATTCCATTTGAGGAGCCATTTTTGTGTGTGGTGTTGATTTGAGAGATTTGTTTCTCTTGAAGGTTGTAATGAGAATGATGTCCAATTTTCGGAACGATCGACCTTTTATACCCCATTGCAGACGCACAAGGTAGTTGGAATTCCTAACTGCCTTTCATGCAAGGTTGGAAACCACCCCTAAAATGTTAGCTGGTTGTTTGGAAATTTTCTAGGTGACAGCCTGTGTTTCGAATCGTGGGAACGTTGAACAGATGAAGAAAATAGTACGTGTAGAGAGTGTGTAACGGATGAGGCCGGCCGGAGGTTATTAGAACATGTTGTTGGTGTTTTCTTTCTTCGATATCCTTTAAGTTGTTGTAGCACAATGCAACTATTGCTATTGTCTTGAGAGTGTGGGAATTTCTTGAAGGAATGGTGTCTAGGTCTGGGATTTATTGTTGGATTCCGATTTTTATTTGTCATTGAGAACCACTTTCACAGAAGTTATTTGGTTGAAAGGACATTTTGATATATGGTCTTTATTGGTAATGTCGTTTCATAGCATTGGTCTTAGTAATCCATATTAAGTAAAGAATGAAAGGGTGTCATAAAACATTTCATTTGGTAGTGCTTGAAGATACTTTATTCAAGTCATTAACGTCTTTCGCCATGAATTCTTCGTGCTTTCAATTAATATATTCTAGGGAAATGGGAAATTTACAATTTCTAGTCTAAAAAAAATTGTTAAGTGGGGATTCTATTCTCCTATGCTAAGCAAGGTCTTAACTTGTGATATATGTTAGATGTAACAATGAAATATTGCTTTGTGAAATATCCTTGATCCTACATGTCCATGGAGGCATGAGAAAGGACATCATAATAACGACTTTTCAGGGATTATTTGCACATATTACAAGGCTCGAGGCTAGAGTTTTCGAAGCCTATTTATAGCATAACAACCTGGAAATCGTATCACCATAGCTATCACCAACAAATTAAATTATAGTGGTTGGTCAAGTGGAATATCATACCCGTTATATGCGGTAAAACCGAGGCTGAATTCCTGGATTCGGGATTACATATTTAATGCATCTATCATAAAACATGACATCCTATTATCAGCATTGCTTACATTGAGTGTGGCCTAGTGTTGTACTTGAGATTCGCTTTTAGAATTTCGAAGTGCTATCCTTGCCTCGGCACTTTCAGAGCTATTATGTAGCTAAAAGAAAGAGAGTTTTTCCTTGCATTTTTAGTTCTATGGCAAATGTGAGTGACTTCAGAATATTCATAGTGCGAAGGGGCTCCTTTTTTGGATTTTCAAAACCAAAATGACAAGGATTCATTGGTTTCGATATTCACGAAATTGCCACAAGGCTTAGGTGAAATTACATCCAAGAATCAACCCAAAAAATTTTAATTGTAGTTCTACCACATGACCTACTTTCAAATCTATATCTGATCTGTTTCCTTGATTGATAAATATAAAATTGGTCTCATTGTGGAAATGTATCATATGACAATACCTATTACCACCCAAAAGAGCCCCATTTCCACTTTTCGAAAAAAATATTGTTCTTTTGAGTTGATCTATTTGTGATTTGTAAGAAAAATAAAAGACTTCATAAAATTTCTGTTAATTTTTTATATTATAATTTTTTTGAATTTGTTATACAAATTTTAAAGCTTTTAGTTATTTTTTGCTATTTCTTAATTCTATCTTAAATTTAATGTTTGATTATCACAGTTGAAGGTTGGGTGGATATCACAGCATTGCAGTAGTCCATTAAAGCTCTTGATTTTAATTTCCATAGATAGGTAATTCTTGGATCTACCATGGACGCCATATAGGAGTAGAGGGAGCTGGTGATGCGGCTGGTGAAATATCCTCATCACTATGATAACCGGATGATGCTGGGGACATGGGAGCTGTATTTTCAATTGGAGTAGTTGCTTCCGACAAACGATTGTATTCACAACCCAGGTGAATCATAACAGCTTTGCCCAATTGGACACTCATGCCGGGGGTGGCAGCCATGACACGGGATACTTCATTGACAGCATTCATATAACCATGGCGGAAGGAATCCATAGGCATTTGAGGACGAGTTGTAACTTTTGGTTTGCGAACTTGAGTCTTGATGAAGTTGACTGCATTTTCTAACATTTCAGCTTTATCCATGTGTAAAATTGAGTCATTGCCCTGGAATTCGGCAACCAATTCTTTAAGGTTATCTAGGCACTTGTTGATGCGAGCACGTCGTTCACGTTCCAGTTGGGGTTTCTTGACCTTGAGGTAATGTTGAGTCTTGGAGACAAATTCCATTTGAGGAGCCATTTTTTGTGTGTTGTGTTAAGAAGTGAGAGATGTGTTTCTCTTGGAGGTTGTAATGAAAATGATGTCTAGTTACTGCCACGATCGTCCTTTTATACCCCGGCGTAGACACACAAGGTAGTTGGAATTTTGGATTCCTACTCACTGCAAGGTTGAAACAACCCCTAAAATGTTAGCTGGTTGTTTGGAAATTTTCTAGGTGATAGCCTGTGTTTTGGATCGTGGGAACGTCGAGCAGATGAAGAAAATAGTACGTGTAGAGAGTGTGTAACGGATGAGGCCAGCCGGTGATTATAATCACATGTTGTTGTTGTCCTTCTGAGATATCCTTTAAGTCGTTGTAGCATAATGCAACTGCTATTGTCCCGAGAGTGTGGGAATTTCTTGAAGGAATGGTGTTTAGGATTGGGATTTATTGTTTGATTTGTTATGTTAAATATTGTGAACTCCTTTCAGAAAGGATATTAGATTGTAAGGATATGTTGATATATTTCCTTTGTTGGTGATGATATTTCGTAGCATTCGCCTTAGTATTCCCATTTGAAATAAGGTATCAAAGTGTGCCATTAAATTCGTCATTGCGAAATTTGAGGAGATATTTTTTTCTTATTATAGAAGTTTGAGTATTTTAAAATCCTTGGGGCTGGATTCTGGTTTTCATTTCGGCATTTCTTTCCTTTACAGAAGTTTACGTTTCCCATTTGCATAGAACATGAATTGAGGCCCTAGTGCTTTATTGAATATATTCTACGATATTGGAAAATTAAATTTTCTCGCTCCTGTAAATCCTGTGGTGCCTTTCAGTATCATAGCTTTAAACATCGTTTTGTGGGTTTTGGATTCCATGGAGCTAAACAAGTCGTTTGCTCGTGATTTGTGTTAAGTCGTCAATGAAATATTGTAATGTAAAATATTCATGGACACCGTCGTATACAGGAAAGCATGGGCTATGGTTCCATAATTTTGACTTTCCAACATTTTTTTCACATAATACAAGGCTCGTCCGAAATAGTCTCAAAATTAATTTCTGACTTAATCGGTGTTTATATATCCCACAACCTAGAAATCATATAACCTGAGCTATCACCAAAGACAGGACTACGATTTTTTAGTGGTAAATCAAGATGAATATTCTACAGAATACCTGTTATATGCGGTACAAACCTTTCTTAAATTACCGGATCCGGGATTACACATTTGAAGTATAGTTGAAAAAAAAACTTGACATCTAAGATCTAGCCTAACCTCAATGTATGATGTGCTGATAATACATTGAGGGTAGGCTAGATCTGTACTTGGCATCCTCCTTTTTGATTTTCGAAGTTCCATCTTCGTCTATGATTTTTAAGAGCAATTATGCAGTGAAAGTTAGTTTTTTTCCATTGGATCTAAAATGCTGCGGCAGAAGAGAATCACATTAGAATATTCACGGTATGCAGAGACTCCAACTTCTCGTCTTCAAGTTTTTCGGGATATTCAAAACCACATAAGACAAAAATATTTATTACTCTCGACATTTATGAAATAAGCAAAGGCTTTGGTGGAATTACTTCCATATATCAGCAATTTTCAGAATTCAAACCCTTCGATTATGGATTTTTTGGTATTGGAGCCAACTGATCCATTTTAAAATCTGTAACTAATCTGTTTTCTTTGTCGAAAATAATAATTTTGGTTTTATTTTTGAAGTTTGTACCCAGTAGTCAGTACCTATAAAATCCCTACAGAATCCCATTTCTTAATTTCTACAAACCTATTATTCTTTTGGGTTGAGCAGTATTAAACCTCCCAAATGTTAAAGAAAAATAAAAGACTTGGAAATTTTCTTTTGACAAATATTTTGTTTTATATTTTTTTAAATTAAAGTTAAATTTGTTCGACAAATTATAAAGCTTTTAGTTCTCTTTTTCGATTTCTTAATTCTATCTTAAATCTAATGTTTGATTATCACAGTTGAAGGTTGGATGGATATCACAGCATTGCAGTAGTCCCATATTGCAGTTAAAGCTCTTGATTTCAAATTCCAAAGGTAGATAATTTCTTAAATCTACCATGGACGCCATACAGGAGCAGAAGGAGCTGGTGAGGCGGCTGGTGAAATATCCTCATCACTGTGATAACCCGATGATGCAGGAGACATGGGAGCTGAGCACAATTCTGTATTTTGAACTGGCGTACTGGCCTCAGACAAACGATTGTATTCACAGCCCAAGTGAATCATAACAGCTTTGCCCAATTGGACATTCATGCCGGGGGTGGCAGCCATGACACGGGATACTTCATTGACAGCATTCATATAACCATGACGGAAAGAATCCATAGGCACTTGTGGAGCCGCAGGAACTTTTGGTTTGCGTACTTGTGACTTGATGAAGCTCACTGCAGTTTCCAACATCTCGGCTTTATCCATGTGTAAAATTGCGTCATTGCCCTGGAACTCGGCAACCAATTCTTTGAGGCTATCCAGACACTTGTTGATGCGAGCACGTCGTTCACGTTCCAGTTGGGGTTTCTTGACCTTGAGGTAATGTTGAGTCTTGGAGACAAATTCCATTTGAGGAGCCATTTTTGTGTGTGGTGTTGATTTGAGAGATGTGTTTCTCTTGGAAGTTGTAATGCGAATGATGTCTAGCTACTGCCACGAACGACCTTTTATACCCCGTCGCAGACGCACAAGGTAGTTGGAATTCCTAACTGCCTTTCATGCAAGGTTGAAAACAACCCCTAAAATGTTAGCTGGTTGTTTGGAAATTTTCTCCGTGACAGCCTGTGTTTTGGATCGTGGGAACTCACGTCGAGCAGATGAATAAAATAGTACGTGCAGGGAGTGTGTAACAATTGAGGTAGGTGGTTATTGGAATTGTTGTTGTTGTTACACTTCCTTCATATCCTTTAAGATAGTATAGGACAATGCCATTGCCTTTGTCGTTGAAGTGTGGGAATTTTTAAAATGTTTGGTGTTTCGGAATGTTGGGTATTTAATTTTTATTTGATTCGATTATTACAGCTCATGATATTGTTGGTATTACCAATGATCTTTAGTATATTGTTGTAGTGAATCCTTAAGATGGTGATGGAGGGTTAATATCCTGAGAAAAGACAATGTTTAAAACAACATCACAAAATTTCACAAATTCAATGTCAACACAATTTTATTCCGGGCATGCTACAGCTCCTTGTGCCAGAGTACTCCAACAAAAGACAGACTTCTAAGTTTTGGTAAACATTTAATTATGACTTGATGCCGTCAAAAAGTGTCTCATCGTTAGGCCAGGTTTGGTAGTCTCATGTCTCTCTGTACAGAATCAATTTCAGGATACTCGCTGTCGACATTACGGAGTCGCTCTATTTATGTAGCTGGTGTATCCAATTTGGTCATAGCATATCGCAATATTTCTGAAAAAAATAAGATTGCGTTTAAAATTTTTCCAAGACCATCTGGTTTTAAGGACCTCCTGACGAGAAATATGCTGGATTTTTCTGACCAAATATATTGTGTATTTTTCATGGATTTTCTGACCAAAAGACGTCCTGGAAAATATCCTGTATTTTTTTAGAGAGACCTTTTATCTTATATCGTGGATCCCCATGTGAAAAATAATGGTTTATTTTTTTTTTTTTTTTTTGAATATCGTGAGGGTTAAATTTCTTGAAACGACATTTTTCAAAGACGTCATGGCCGAACACTAGAAAGGGTATATATTATTTGATACGGCCAAAGCATGCCTCATCGAAATAACGGTTTTAGACCCTAGGTCTCTTTGGACCAAATTCGTTTCAAGGCATTTGGAGAGATCTAGCGATGTCCGTCCGTCTGTCTGTCTGCTGGCTGGTGCGTACCATAACTCTCGAAGGGAATATTCGATGTGGTCCAAACTTGTTTCATCATAATATGATTACTAAACTTAGATTGAGTTCGTAGATGGGCAATATCGGTCCACTCCTTCGGGTGTCTTCCCCACAAAAGCTCAACATTTAAAAAAAAAAAGTTTTACTGCATAGAAAGAGAAAGAATAATCCGATTTCGTTCCAACTTTGCAAATCCTAATATTTGCATCAGCGCTAGGTCGGGTGTGAAAATTCACAATATCTTTCCCCTCCAAAAAAAAAAAAATCACATATCCCAATATTTTTATAAACCCAAGATATGGTGTTAAGATGGAATATATCGGTCTACTCCTTCTGGTGCCTCCCCATTCAAAGTTTTGAATAACCAAAACGGTTATAAAATCCGAAATAAGCATCCTATTCTCTTCATATTTCACACAACTCATTATTTCTACTAACACAAGGTTTGCTGTGATGATGGGATATATGGGTCCACTCCTTCTGGCCTTCTGGTACCTCCTCCACAAAGGGTTAACATTTTGAATATCCACGAAGCTCATAAAACACGAAATTAACATCGGATTCCATTCAGATTTGGTACATCTCAATATTTCCATCAACACAAGATCTGTTATGAAGATGGTAGAGATCGGATCATTTATTCTGGTACCTCCCCACAGAGGGTCAAAATTTTGAATATCCATGAGTTCATAAAACGCAAAACTAATATACGGTTCCATTTAGACTTCGTACATCTCAATATTTCCATCAAGACAAGATCTGTTATGAAGATGGTGGATGTCGAACCATTTCTTCTGGTACCTCTGCTACAAAGGGTCAACATTTTAAATAATCATGATGCTCATAAAAGGCGAATAAGCATTCAATTCTCTTCAAATTTCACACATCCCAATATTTCTACTAACACAGGATCTGCAATGAAGGTGGGATATATAGGCGATTTCAAAAGTTCTACTTTCTTAGGATCTGATATGAAAATGATAGCTGTCGACCCAACCCTCATGGTACCTCTGTCCTAAAGGGTCATAATTTTCAATACTTATGTCTCCCATAACTTGCGAAAGAAGTCAGTGATTTTTTTTCAAAATTTATGGAATTTGTCGACCCATTCTTTCTAGAACCTCCCCCACAAAAAGTTTAAAATTTTAATAACAATTGTTCGCATGATATTTGCTCGAATATATATACAATATATATCTAATACATTACACTTTTCAACGTTTCTCATATCCCAAATCTATTTGATACGAAGTGGACAATATTGGCCCACTCATTGGCAGAGGGTATTCATCGATCGGCATAACCGACGTATACTTTTTAACTTTTAATTTTAGAATTTTTATAACTTTTTTGAAACCAAATTCATGTATATTAAAGAAAAGATTTAAGGGACCTCCAGGCCAAGCATGGTGGATTTTTAACGATTTTTTAATGAAATTTTAGGATCCTTTTACCAAAATTTTAATTTTTTATTGACTTCCGAAGGAAAACTTTTATAGAAAAAATTAAAGGTCGTATTGACTAAAAAATATTTATTTTTTAAGGAAAATTGTTGAGGGCCTCATGGTAAAAATTCGTTGTTTTCCACGATTTTAAGGACTTCTTGCCCGAAAATTGTAGAATATTTCTTAGGGCTTCCTCCAACCAAAGAATGGTGATTCTGATGCCATTCGTAATTGAATGACAAAAGAGTCACCATTCTTGGCCAATATTTTTTTTTTTTTTTTGTTTTATTAAAATTATTTTTCCAGGTTTTACTGTTTGTGTATAGTCCAAAACCATACCCGTATCAACAAAAGAAATCTATAGAATTTTTCTTTCAAAATTTTTAATTATATTTTTTGTTAAATTATATTTTCTTAAACAATATTAAAGCTTTTGTGGTTGTTGTTTTTTTTTTCTTCTTACAAATTATCTTAAAACTAAGTAATTGGTTATCACAGTGGAACATATATCGCAGTCTTCTTCTCGTAGGTTATTCAAATTAAAGCTTTCGATTTCTTTTCAAAAAGTTACAAGGTTTTTCAGCTTCTGTCCTTACCAAGGACGCCAAACGGAGGTGGCTGCTGCAGATGATTCCTCACCATCGTCACTGTGATAACCCGATGAAGCTGGTGACATGGGAGCCGAGCAGGATTCTTCTTCCACCATCTCCTTTTGTTGGCAAATAGCTGACATTTGCAATAGACGATTGTATTCACTGCCCAAATGTACCATAACAGCCTTGCCAGTTTGTACATCCATGCCGGCAGTGGCAGCCATGACACGGGAAACTTCATTGACAGCATTCATGTAACCGTGGCGGAAAGAATCCATTGGCATTGTCACAGTAAAGTTCGTCGCATTCGCCTGCTTAACTTGTTTCTTCATAAAAGCCACAGCTGACTCAAGCATTTCGGCCTTGTCCATGCGCATAATTGAATCATCACCCTGGAATTCGGCCACCAATTCTTTGAGAGTATCCAAACACTTGTTAATGCGTGCACGTCTTTGCCGCTCCAGCAGAGGTTTCTTGACTTTGAGGTAATGTTGCGTCTTGGAAACGTATTCCATTTGTGGAGCCATTTTTTGTTGATTTTTTATTTTTTAATTTGGAGTTGTGTCTTATTTGTGAGTTACAATGAGAATGATAACTGATTGCTGCACTGGTCGGCTATTTATACTCTGCCGGCTTAGTTGGACAAAATCTGAGCTGCTCATTGGAGTTGATTGGTTTGGCAGAGAGAGTGTGAGAATGAATAGAAACGAACGTGTACAGCACACGCAAAATACAACCCTTACCACTGGATATTTTGTGAGTGCATTTGCTGGTCGATAGTAGGAAAGTAACATAGATCGTATCAGAGGAAGGTATGGTTTTGATTTTGGAGGCGAAAAGAGTTTTTATCCACAAGTGTTCCAATCAAATAGGCGCGTGTTTGAAGCAAGCTTTATGTCGCAGAATACAATTTAAGGAAGTAATTGCCTTCGTGCCATCCATGTTGGTTTTTGTAAGAATAATTTGGAAGGACCCTCTGAGAAAGATTTTGGGGTTTTAAGAAAAATTAAAAAAAACTTTTAATCAAGAGCCGTACACATATTTTCAGAACGACCTCCTTCTTCACTAAGCTAGCAAGTTCCCACTACTTCGTCCAACTTAAAATTTCAGATTCGTACCAATTTTTTCCTTTTTCGGATATAATAATAAGAAAATGTTAACCTTTTATATCAAAAAGTCTTCAAAATCGTTCATTTGAAGGAGGAAAGTAGTAAATCCATTGTACAATGGATTACAACTTTTTTTCTAGACCCCCAACTGAGATCCGAAATTGGTACCATTTAGTACTTTTCGAAAAATTATAGTACGCATTTGCAAAACCATCAGATAGGAACAGAGACCTTAATATCAAATTTCGGGATTCCAGCTCAATTTCAGGATTTTAGCTCTATCCCTTCACCGAATAGCAAATTTAGTACTATTTAGTACTTTTCGTACAATTATAGTACACATGTCTAAAACTACCTTGATATCTTAATTACAGATAACAACGGAGATCTCAATACCAAATTTTAGGATTCCAGTCCTATTCCTTTTCCCAATACCAAGTTTATTGCCACTTAGTACTTTTCGTACAAATATGGGACGTATTTCCAAATCCACCTCCATAGCTTAAACACAGACATTGGCAGGATTGCGGTTCTATTCCTTATCCTTATCGTAAAACGTTTCAAAACCACCTCTTTATTATAAACCTTCTACTACAGGACCAAAATACACAATTTCAAAATTACACCTTTGTTTCGTTCACTCTACACCAAATTTCGTACCATTTAGTACAATTCGCACACTTAGTACACTTTTTCAAAACCACCTTCATATATCAAACTTAATTTCAAATTTAGATTTCTATACCAACTTTTTAAGATTTTGGCTCTGTCCGTTCTATTTATACAAAATGGTACCATTTTATATGTTAGCACGTTTTTCGAAATTTTCGACTCTCATACAAAATGCCAGAATTCTAGCTCATTCTGTGTCCAATACAATACCTACGCACCAAGACTGACCCTCGTGCAAAATTTCGAGATTCTAGCTTCAGTCGTTTTGTCTGGACGTTGATTCTTATAGACTTCAACATTTGATATTTTTCTATTCACCCAACACCAAATTTAGTACCATTTAGTACAATTACTATACTAAGGGCACATTTTCAAAATTACCTCCTTATTTCCCGAAATTGAGTCTCATATATATATACAGGGAGAGATAAAAAAATTGCAACCAATTTCAGACTGCTGTCATTTCCAAGCCACTCGTCCGACAGCTGTTAAAATTATTCCAGTGACAGCTCATTATATTGTTTACGAGCGCACAAAAGCATTTTGGTGAGAATTCTCCAGAAAAAAAATTATTCGTGATGGAATTCAAGCGTGATAGTGTGATTTCTTTATATTTGGCTGGAAAACCACAACTGGCTAACGTTAGAGCTCTCCAGTATTTAAATGTGAATAAATTTTTGTGTCTCGTACCATTGCTCGCTACCGTGATACTGGTAGCGTAGCCCGACGTCAAGGGAGTGGACGGAAGAAAAAAGCAACATAAGCAGAAATGGTTCGAAAAGTAAAGAATTGAATTGATCGAAACCCGCTTCGCAGTGGCCGAAAAATGGCTCGTGAGCTGAACATGTAGCAAAATTCCATTGGGCAAATATTGAAAAATGAGCTCGGGGTGAAATCATTGAAATTCCAAAAAGTGCAAGAACTTACACCGCAACCGAAAGAAAATAGACTCAAAAGAGCTAAAGTGGTGAACTGCCGCATTTGGTTTTCTCCGATGAGAAAACATTCGTTGTCCAGCAGTTTGTAAACAAACATAATGATCGTGAGGTCAGCTGAAAATGTGCACCTTGGTTGGCCACCAGAACTCTAGCGCCGGCCATGGTGTTGGTGTGGGCCGCCATAACAGCCAATGGTCGCTCTTCGTTCGTATTAATAGACCGTGGCATCGGAATAAATGCCGAATATTATCGCCAACAAATATTCTGGAGGGTGTATTAAAGCCTTGAGCACGCAAACATTTTGGCCGCAGAACAGGACTCAGCACCATCGCACTCAGCACGCGCAACCCAAGAATGGTTACATAATGAGGTTCCTCGCTTCATTTCCAGCGCATAATGGCACCCAAAATCTTCGGATACCAATCCGTTGGACTATTGTGTCTAGAGTACATATTTTGGAAAGCAAGGTTGGCATTTCACAAAAACCAAAGTGTCGATTACCTTAAGCAAGCGCTTCGCCGGGAATGGGCCAAAATACCGCAGAGCAAGATTCGGACAACGTCTGACGGTTTCATTGACTGTTTGAAGGCCATAATTCGTGCCAAAGGTGACCAATTCGAACAAATCTAAACGTATTCTAAAATTTAATGCTATTTCCGACATTTTTCGCTTTCAATTAAAAGAAAAAAATAAGACAAAAAATGTAAAAATTATGGCGTTTGACTTTGTTGCACCCTGTAGAGAGTCAGTACCAGTCAAATGGACAGACATTCTTAGGTCGACTCCAAATGTCCTGAAGGTGTTTCTTCCAAAGTGTCATTATTTCGATGAGGGACGTTTTGGTCCTGTCAATGTGTATAAAAATATTACGATGTGTAACAATTGGATAAAATCAGAGATTCTTCTCGAAGGTACCAATTAGCCATGCAGAAGATGGAAAGAAGGACGTTAAATTGTGATATCCAAGCCATTTAACGTCTTTCATTCCGTCTTCGGCATGGCTAACTTAAACCTTTGAGAAAAGTATCAGATTCTATCCAATAGTTACACATCGTAATATTTTCAAAGAGACATGAAGCCAAAACCCGTTGTTTCCTTGGGATATATTTTGGCCTCATCAGATTTTATACGTGTTCTGCCTTATCATAGGCTATGGGTGTCAAAATGGACAATTTCGATGAAACTCCAATGGCATGATTTTGAAGAGGTCCTATTTTTTCAATAAAATTATTTTTCCTCCCAGACATTTTCCTTCCATTCTCTCCTAAAACTACTATACGTCCTACTGTACTTGCCACAGCCAATACATTGCAGAGCGTGCTCTAAGCCCAACACTGCGCTGCACACAAAGCCATTATTGCTTCGTTCAACGGGAGAGCGTGTGCCTGGAATGAGCAAACTGACATGAATGAAACGAGAGCGTGTGAGAGACATGCGTTGCGAGAGTGCTGGCCAGAGTACGTGTTTAGAATGCGATTCTTATTCGATTGGGTGAACGTGAGAAAACCATGGGGCACGGCATGTGCTCTTTTCTGAAAAAGAGTTTTGAACTCCACACTCCTGGGGGCTTAAAATAATTGACCGGTTCACAAACTTGCTAACCAACCAGTTGGGACTGAGATGTTTGTTGCCACATCCGGGAGAGTAGAAGTTAAGGTGAGTTTTGTGAAATGAATGAATCGCTTGGTTGGTTTGGTTGGTTGGTGCGTAACAGCAGTAGGCTTTATGGGACATGTGGTAAGCGGTAACACCATCTCATCATCCACGATGATGATGAGGATGAAGATGATGACGACGACGATCGTGGTAGTCGTTGTTGAGGTCAGTAAGACTGAATGAGTGCTGCTGGTTGCTTGCCTTGCTGACTTCATTCATTTGCTGAAGACCAAATACCCCCTCCCCACTCTCTCACATCTCTGTTACTTGGTAGCCAGTTTGTGCCCATGACAAGCTCGTGTCTGTTGTGGGGCTTAAAGTTGCACTGCCACCAACCACCATCATCAGCATGATCAGCCGCATACTGCCACAGATGTTGTTGTTATACTTGGGGTTGTTGTTGCAAGCATCCATACATGTTGTCTACATGCAAGGGGGCTCCCAACTTATTTTTTGATGGCTCTTATTAGAGATAAGCAAATACACACACGCACACCAAACACATATTTATGCTGATGCGCGATGTTAAGAAGCAGGAAAAAATAAAAATGGGCAGGTGTTCTCATCGCGTGGGAAACGTACGACAAAATTGTTTCTCACGTTTCTGAAAGACAAGCCAGCCATCATCATCAGCGTTGTCATGATCATCATCAACGGCAACAGCAGTCCAAGTAGAATTACTTTCGTTATGGTTGCTTGTCGTAGGCTGGATGGATAGCTGGCTGGATGGCTGCTTGACGAACTAACCGACTGACTGGTCTGATTATGAGCCACATTTATGTCTGTCTGATTGCCTTCATATTCTCTCCTGCTAATGGCTGGGCGATTACTGCTCTTGATATCCTTTCCTTTGCCAACATCCTTTTTGGGCCATAAGGCTAAGAGAATTTTCTCGTGGGTTTCACAAAAGAAAACCAAATTTTCGAACTGTGGGGAAAATCTTTTTCCCATCACCAAAAAAATTTCAATGCCTCAATTATTTATCTTCTCTCAAAACAAAAAAGGATCAGGATGTTTTCCTTTAAGAAAATTGCTCTAACAATGATTTTTAATGTTCTTTGTCTGTCCGCCCATATATATCTTCCGAGTTGTGCAAGGATCAGACGTTAAAACCTGCTACCTGCTCAGCGAGACAATTGGCATCCTTGCCATGGATTTTTGTTGTTGCTGCTGGTGTTGGCTGGCGACCTCAAAAAAACATTCCCACACTTTACAATTTCCTTTGATTTTTCTTATCCTGGGCGCTCTCTCACTCTCCGTGAGATAGAGATGAACTCTTGTTTACAAGACCCACACGGAGAGCCTTTGCTGAGATGCTGAGCTATAAAAACCTTGGCTCTCTGGGATAACAGCATCATTTCGTTGTAGTCTTCCTTAGAAAAAACATCTCAGAAAATTTTTCCTTTTTTTGAGAAAAAAGAAAAATAAACGAAAACGTACAGTTCCTCACAAAAACAAAGAAAACAACAACAAAACACCCAAAAATGGCTCCTCAAACAGAATTCGTTTCCAAAACCCAACACTACCTCAAAGTGAAAAAACCCTTGCTGGAGCGCCAAAGACGGGCCCGCATGAACAAGTGTTTGGATGCCCTCAAAGAATTGGTTGCCGAATTCCAGGGCAATGATGCCATTCTCCGCATGGACAAAGCTGAGATGCTGGAATCCGCCTTGGAATTTATGAAGACTCAGGTGAAAGTACAAGAAAAACCACAGACTCCTAATTTTCCTGCAATGGTGCCCATAGACAGTTTCCGTCATGGCTACATGAATGCCGTCAATGAAGTGTCTCGCGTTATGGCCGGTACTCCTGGTATCAACATCAACATTGGCAAGGCCGTAATGACCCATTTGGGTGCCGAATTTAATCGTTTGCTGCAACAAAACTCAGTGCCTGTGGTTAAGGATGAGCTGGCCAACAAAGTCAACGAAAAGGCCCCCATGAGCCCAGCCTCCTCGGGTTATTGCAGTGACAATGAGGAACAGCAATCCTCACAAGGATCTCCCAACAGCACCACCTCCAACAACTCTATGTGGCGTCCTTGGTAATCGAAAGTATCCTGAATTTAGTTTTAGTTAAAAAAATTGCAACTTAACAGCTTTAAACGCAACATAATATTGTGTCTTCCCCCCAACAAACCCCCCTTACCCCTTACATTTGTAGAAATTATATAATTCTCTGTTAGGAGTTTTATTCTCTCTGTGATAGAAACAAAACAAAAAAATCAACAAACTTGGCTTTATTAGGATTTTTAGTAACTTTGCCTTTAATAATTTTTAACTTTCGTATTTAAGAAAAAAAATGATATTGTATTTTTACTTCAACAATTTTTATAATTTGTATTTTAGAAATACCAATTTAAATTTTATTTTTAATTGTCCAACTCAAAAGCTTTAACAAATTGTGTTTTTCTAGGTTAGGTAGTACATAATTATTAGTCTGTAAACTAGTTTTAAGAACGAAAAAATATTTAAAAAATATAAACATTTTATTTGAAATCTAAAATCTGTGGTTTTTTAATTTTTTTCTTCAAAACAAAATTTTTCAATTTTTGTTTCCAATTTTTCAAAATTTCTAGCTCAGCATCATCATCAGCATTAGCATCATTTCTGTACTTCTCCTGCTGCACTTGTCAGCATAATGTTGTTCCACATCTCAAAATTTGTTTTTGGGGTGTCAGACTGTACCTGTTTGGGCTTCCTCTCTGGTCATCTTTTATGTTTTGGGGTGGATGCCATGAGTTGCATGAAATCTCAGCTACCTGCCTTTCGTTCCCTATTGTGTTGAGATTTTTGTTTCGTAGGGGTTGGGCTTGAATTTCGGCTTGTCATGAACACTTGTTGTCTTCTATGGCTATTCATTTTTGAGGGAAATAAAAGTACAGGTTCACAGAAGAATCTGGAATGGAATATCATCCATTCAAACATAAAAATACAGTTTTTTGGGTAATGATCTCATATTGGATGAGGGAAAAATTAAAGATTCCTTGATAAAACCCTGCATTGCTACGTGGGGAGAGCTGAAAACTTTATTTTAGATCAAAATATGTCATTTACCGGTGGACTCACCTGTGGAGCCTGAGTTTATCTACACCTTTTTCAGATGTAATTCGGAAACTAAAATTGTTTTTCGAAACATTTCAGTCGTAATTTGAGAATATAATTTGTAATTCGTAAAATTAATTCTTCTGAAATTAGAATTATTCCTTTGTAATTCGATTCATTTTATTTGTAATTCGAAAAAGCAAATATAAAGCCAAGGCAAAAAATGTTTGCAATTTTTTTGTTTCGAATTTAAAATGGAATAATTCGAATTTCAGAAGAATTAATTCGAATAAAAAATTCTGTTCGAATACGGAATGCAATAATTCGCAATTAAAATGGATTGTTACGAATTGCAAAGGGAATTCTCGAATTCCAAATAAAATTTTTCGAATTACATCTGTATGTGCAATCGTCCTTTCGGTCTCCGTTTTCTCTATAACCAGCGACGCAAAGTGATTCAGACTTCGACTTTTCTGGAAAAAATCACAATTTTTATACCCCCCTCCATAAGATTGAAATTCTATTAGGTTTATAATTCTGTTTGCAACCCCTCGAAATATTTGTTGCAGACACCATAAAGGACATATACTCCTGATCAGTATAAAAACGTAAGTCGATTTATCGATGTCCGTCAGTTGATATCAGGATAGACCTTACAATTTCCTAGACAAATTAATGAAATTTGGCAAGGATGTTTATCATACTCCTTAGAAGTTTGATATTGAAAATGTTCCATATCGGTCCACATTCGGGTATAACCTCCTCCTCCCTGGTGTTTGGTATTTTTTAGGTTTCAACCATAATACAAACGAAATCAGCTGTTATTTCGGGTTTTCAGTGGATAGTTTAAGTCCCTGCAAAATATATCCCATATAAGTCCAATTTCTTGGTCTAAAAAGCTCCCATTTGTTGAAATTTCAAAGGTGTGAACTCCAAATTTTTTTTGATTTTCCTTTCAATAGTACCTATTATGATCTTCCAATACGAAATTTCAAACAATCTCGGTGAATATTGTACCTAAAATGCGGAATATAGGGAGGTACTGATATATGAGGCCTATACGAAGACCTGAACCTGCATAGACAATTTTCTTGCTGTTCCCATTACGAACTCTAAATACAAATTTTGAAACAACTCCGACGAAAAAGTGTCGCTAAAATTATGAAAATACCGAATATTGGTATGTATCGTTATATGGAGGCTATACGAAGACGTGGGCCTGCATACGCAATTTTTTGTCATAGGTTGTATAACCCATTACGGATTCTAAATACGAAATTTAAACAACTCCGGTGAATAATGTCCTTTAAATCGTCCAAATTTCTAAGTTCAGGTGGGTACAGTTTTATGCGGGCTATACGATATCGTGGACCTATAAAGACATTTCTCTCTCAGGGTTAAAGTACTACTGATGGTCTTCTGTGCTAAAAAAAAACTAGGAGTTCTTCTCCATACATCTAGAAGGTCTTGATCTTCAGGATCTATTAATGTCTGGAAGTGATCCTTTGTTTGTAGAGGACACCCAGAAAGTCATCACCTAGAAGACTTCCATAGCTCCCTTAGGTGTGGAAGACTATGTCTTGGAGCTTTTTAGCAGCTATGGAAGGGCTTCTTTTACATTCATAGTGCTTTCCTGATGTTTTTTTGTGTATGAAAGACTTTCAGACGCTCTTCTATGTAAAATATCCTCAGAATGTTTTATATTTTTCAGAGGCTTTCGGAAAGCATTTGACTAAATGTGTGGAAGGTCTGTCATAAAGGACCTTTCGGAGGCCTCGATAGACTTTATAAAGTTCTTAAATATATAGAATGACTTAGGAAAGTATCTTTGGCCTAGACAACATTTCTGACGTTTTTAGGCCACCAAAACTTATGCGCCGGTCATAGTGAATGGTCGCTCTCCGACCGTGGTATCAGAATAAATGCCGAATATTATCGCGAAAATATTCTGGAGGGTCCATCAAAGCCTTGGGCATGCAAACATTTTGGCCGCAGACGTTGGACATTCCACTAAAGAATACAATGTGTCGATCAACTCAAGCAAGCGCTTCCCCGGGAATGGGTCAAAATACCGCAGAACAACATTCGGTCAGAGTGTGACGCTTTCATTGGCCATCAAAGGTGACAAATTCGAACAAATCTAAACTAATTCTAAAATTTTTTTATTGGTGTAGAGGAGAGGTCTACCCTGTCTAGACAACTTCGTGGAGGCCTTATATGCAAGAAATGCTTTCAGTACTTCTTATTCAGAACATTTTTTTTCTGAAGAAACTCTTGTTGTTTGAATATGAAAAAATAACTCGTATATTATGCCATTAAGATTGCCTACAATTTTTATATTTATATAAGAACTGCTGATCTACCTATATACAAATATCTTTTATTCATAAAAGGGCGGTGGAAAGGCTTATCTATATAGAGCTCTTTTTTAAAGAGTTCTGTCTATAAAGGACCACCAGAAAAACTTATTTTTAGGCGACACCTCTCCAAGGTATTGTATGTAGATACGTTTTTTTATCGCTATTTTAGAAAATAATTTTATACAGAAGCTGGATACCACCATCTCGAGGCCCTGTAATTTATTAATGTATAGAGGAGAGCTATAGGAGTAATTTTTCCTTGAAGATCTTTTCATAAGAGGGCATACTTGGATTTCAATGAAAAAACTTTTGTCTTCAATCATTTGGGAAAACTTTTTTGAGAAGACCCAACTGGACTTATTTTATGGAAGACCTCAAGAGAGTATTTTGGATATCGTTAATCAAATAACCATTTCTTTTTTTTTTTAATAAACAAATAAAAAGTTTTTTACGACTTACAAGTGTTAATTCAAAGAATTCCCTTGTTTTTAGTTGATATGTGCTAGGTTAAATTTTACACCCCCTTTTCGAATGGTAAACCCAAACATTTTCCATTCAGGTCATGTGTACCTTGATAGACTCAAAGATAAGATAAAGTGTTTAAATCAACTCTTGGCTAAAGGCAGGATTAAGAAAAAGGGTTCCACAAACATTTCAACGTCTTGGTTTGTTTTTTTTATGAAGTCATTAAAATTGATTGGTGGGGAAAGATTAAATAAATGCATTCCCCCCTCTTACAAGTCTACAGGGTGTTCTGAGGAGAAATTTTTTTCTTTCTCGGTGACAACTAAAACGTTCTTGTAATCACGTCACTTTATTATGAAAATCTATTCCAACTCCAGAAGGTTGAATGAAATGGAATGCATTTAAAACTCTGTGCGCCGGCAATGATATTCCTTGGACTAGTGATTAAAGTTCTCCATAGAAACAACAATTAAGAGGCGGGGTTTTGTGGGTATCCAAAGAAGGTCTCTTTTTTTCTAGCAGACATATGGAACAGGATTAAAAATATCTAATAAAAAATACAGTTTTCAGAAGGTCTATCGACAATATTGTATAGCTCGTATACTCACAGAAGGCCCTCCAGTGCCGTATATCTATATATTTATAGAAAGTAAGGTATGCCATAGAAGGTGTTCTATGTCCAGAAGATCAGTTCATATGAGGGAATTGTGGCTCAAGAAAAATGAAAAAAGATCGTCTGTCTAAAAAAAAGCATCTACCGTCTTTAGAAAATATTTTTTGTCCATAGAGGGACTTTAAATGTGGAACTTATAAATAGGAACCTAAAAGGATGCCTTTCCGATGGTCTTGAGAATGTTGCATAGCTATAGTATACCTATGAAAGCCCTTCTTACCCCTTTCAAAGACCCTTCTTTTGTATATATATATTCCTCCTATATATTTTCAGCTGGTTGTTTCTTAGAGGCACACCTTCAGTAGGTCTTGTCCGTCCGTCTGTCCGTCTGTTGTAATCAAGCTAGAGTCAAAACGAATAAAGATAGGAAGTTAAAATTTTGCACAGATCAGTTTTTTGTATGTAGGCAGGTCAAGTTCGAAGATGAGCTATATCGGTCCACGATATCCTATAGCGCCAATATAATGATACCCCCTGAATATTCGGTATTTTGATGATTGTAGCCAAATTTTTCAATGAAATTGTCTGAAAATCCACAAAAGGAGTTCCTTCTGCGTACTTTACCCCCTGGAAGAGTATTGTCTATTCAGGGTGAGATGAGCACTCCAGCATTTAAATGTGAATAAATCTTTTGTGTCTCGTACCATCGCTCGTTGATGTGGTACTGGAAGCTTAGCCCGACGTCATGGAAGTGGACGGATGAAAACAGCAACATCAGCAGAAATGGTTTGAAAAGTAAAGAAGCAACTTGATCGAAACCCGCGTCGAAGTGGTGCAATTTTCCATTCGGCAAATATTGAAAAATGAGCTCGGAGTAAGGCTATTGAAATTCCAAAAAGTGCAAGAACTTACACCGCAACAGAACAACAGAAAGAAAATAGACTCAAAAGAGCTAAAAAGTTGCTTCGCTTGGCCGAAAGTGGTGAACTGTCGAATGATCGTGTTTACTTGCCAAAGAGGTCA